CCCTGCCCGCCCCAGCTCTACACAACGCAGCATGCACAGTCTCTCCCTCTCGCGCGCTCTGTTGCCTTCTCCTCCTTTAGGCTTTCTTACACTTCCCCTTCTTCTCCCGCTGCTGGAACTTCCTGAGCCGCCGAGCCCATGTATCCCGCCACTGTATCACCAGGCTGGTTTTGTCCGCAATGATGCCGCTCTGGTCGGGAGAGTCCTCGTTGTTGCCCAGCAGCAAATACTTCTTCATGGGCTTGATTTTGGGGCACTTGCACGCTATGTCCTTGGAGTGGATCCACAGGGTCTGGTCTCCGCGCCGTATCCGGTTGCTGCCTTGTTTGTAGACGGAGATGATGTTGACTGTGAACTTCCACCAGTCGGCATTTTTTTCCGCTTTCAGGATGTGGATCTGGACAGCTGGAAAAAAAAACGAGGCAAGAGAGGAAAAGATGTTATGGTTTGAGCTGGTGAGAAGAAAATAAATTTCAAGTCTTACCTAATAGGCTGTGTGAGAAAAAGGGATTTTGTCTCCTCAGCCCAGGGTGGGGGAGAGCGACCACGGGTGGTGGTTGCACAAAAGCTACCTTTGTCCCCAGACATCCGCCACGAGCAAGAGTAGCCAGTGCTGGCGGCAGAGGGTCTCAGCAAAGGTACTAAGACCACCATAGGCTTGGGAGATGCTCTCCAGCTCTGCTGCCACAAGGGAGGCCCTCTGGGTCCCCAGTGAGCAAGGGCATGGTTACCCGGGGACAACGAGGGCTGGAGGACCCCCAGGAGGGGAGCAGAGGCTGGGAGCAGCTGTACACCACCATGGCAGTCCTCGCGTTAGGAGCCCTGGGAACGATGCAGGGCAGCCCGGAGCACTGGTGGGGAGAGGTTGCCTCGTTCTCCTAGCCGTGTCCTAGGGAGGACCATCATCTCCCTGGGACCACTGGGACATGGCTGTGAAGCAAGTTCCCCAGGACCATTGGTGCGGCAGTGCCTCCAACATCTGCCCCAGCACCTGCGAACTCTTAAAGCAATAAAAAAAAAAAAACTCTTAAAAATCAGTTGGATTCGTGTACGCTGGACTCTGCCTTTTCCCTTGAAGCAACAAGCACAGAGAAAATCAACAAACCCAGGGACAGCTTGTGCCTCCAGCCCCAGGTGGTGGCCTGAGCACAGGGCAGAGGCTCTGTGCACACAGCATGCGTTGCAGTGGGCATGGCAGGGAGGTGCCTGTCCCCATCGGCAGTGCCAAAACCCCGGGCTGCACCGCAGGACCTGGGACGAGCTTTCTTCCTGACCCACGTGTCCAGAGAGCAGCACGTGCTTCAGCCAGAGGATGGGTTTCTGCATGGGCCATCCCTCCAGCCCCTCTGCCCTCGCTTCCTCGCTAGATGGGCAACTCGGTGCATCAGCGCCAGGACCCTAAGGCAGCCCCAGGTTTTAAGAGAAGATGAGCCAAAATCTGGAGCAAAACGCTAGGACTGGCCCATATCTCCAAGCATTTGGCATCTGGAGGTAGGAAAGACCTGTTAGGGCCTCCAGCATGTCTGCCCAGGGCCAGCACAAGGAGACAGCTCTCCATGAGTGCCTGGCCTCGGAGCAGGACACTGAACAGGTCCAAACCTATGAAAGGTTTCAGAAACAGGGAGGTTCGCTGTTGTGTGTTTCTAGGAGATGTTCCTGAGCCAATACTGTTCAGTGCTTGCTGTGGAAGATGACATTGCTGGTAAAAAGCACGGGTGAAGGACTGGGGTTGAGGCTCAGTGATTGTAAGGACATGTCAGTGGCAGTGGCCAACCTGACTTCTGGGCCTGGAGGACTCACTGAAACATCTCTGTAAATACTGAATAACAACATCGGGCTTCAAGGGGATACCTTGGTATGCAGCAGCCTGGCAAGCCAGGTGTCCCGGCAGATAACTGAGCGATAACAAGCTCCCAAAACAAGACTGAGATGGGAGCACAACTGTGATCCATAAGCACAGAAATAACAAGTTGATGGTGTTTTCCAAGCCTGGGGCTGATGTTGTGTAGAAAACCTCCTGAGAAAACCTGGTGAGGGCTCAGCCCCCTGCCGTGCCACCCTTGTTCTTCCCTGAAGCACGGTTCATGCGTTACGTTATCCCTGCACCCACCGGCATCCGTGCAGGAGTGGTGGCCATGGTCCCACAGGGCCAATGCGAAGAGGTGACTTGGCATCGTGATCTGGACAGGAGAGGACTCTCCGAGGGGTCGTCCGCAAAGGTGCAGCAGAGCCAGGATGGCGACGGACACTGGTTTACTTCCAGCGTGCTCGAAGGTAAGGCTCTGCTCACGGCTGATTTCAAGAGCCCCTGGAGCCACCATGGTTTTGCCCCATGGGGCAGCCCCAGGCTGCAGCTCAGGTGACCATGAGCAGGCTATGGTGACCTCTTCCAGCCCTCCTCCTCCTCTTCCTCAAGCCCTACAGCAGGTGCTGTTGTGCCCTTTCCAGGTGACATCTGTGGACTTGGGTTCAAAACACAGGGAAGGATGGAGACCCGCGTTCCTTGCATGGGAAACGGAATGTTTGGCCCTGAAGCATGGTGAGGAAGAGAAGACGCGGGCCTGGAGGCAGCTCCTGCCACGTCAGTGGGCTTCTTCCCGACAGCGGTCCATCACCGTGCAGAGCACGCAGCAGAGGAGGACAGGATCAGCAGTCGGCCAAGATCGCATCCTCCAGGGAGGTCGAACACATTCCTCCTCACTAAAAATCGGCTTCCAGGAAAATATCTTCACCGGGGAGTGACTACCCCGCCCTCCTGGGTTTGTTTGCTGGCTGTGGAATGAGGAGTCCCCAGCAGCAGAGACAGAGGGAAAAACCCAGGTGGCGATGCCAGCCCTGGCCGGGAGAGCAGGCGAGGGCCAGTGGCTCCGTGCAGGCTGGTGCAGTCCAGCCAAAAAGTGCTTTTTGACCAAATCTTTGAGCTTTTCCCATTTCCACCACCCCCCACCCCCCCTTCCCCTCCATGCCCTGTGAGCTATAACACCCTGCCCGTCTACCTGCCTGTCTCAGCCATCTGGCCAGTCCCCAGCGGGTCCGATCTTGATTGCATAAATTATCAGAGGGAGAAGAAACCGCAAAAGAACCAGGCAAAACTCTCCCATTTGCCTTGTAACAACCCAACTTAACCCCCCTGGATTAGCGGCGGAGGAGCATCACCCTCACTTTAAAACCACAACGTGCAAGCTGATTTCAAGCTATGGAAGGAAGCGGGGCTCTGCAGCCCAGCAAGGCTTTTTAACACGTTGCAAAATATATGTGGGTTTTTTTCGGAGCATGTCATGGATGCCAGATGCTTTCATTTAAAAAAAAAAAAAAAGAAAAAAGAAAAAAAACAACCCTAAGCTCTGACCGTGTATTTCCCAGTCTGGTGTGAAGGTAACAAAATGTGAAGATTAGCCAATTTTTATTTTTTGGAAACAAATCTTTCCAAAAAAGCTTAAACCTTTGACCTGCCTGGGTCCACACTGACAAAATGGAGAAAATGAATGAAAAGGAACCGGAGAGAGGTGGTTACAGGAAACTCCGCTCTAAAACACACAGTCTGTATTTTTTTGATGTCAAGGCCCCCGTCTCTTATTTTTTTCCCTTTTTATTAATGAAGTGGAAGGAGTGAAAGCTTCGGTGAAGGCTTGGCTGGCACAGCAGCAGCTGCCTTCGCTGACAGCGAGTTTTCTGTCCATAACTTTGCATCCAGGACGCGCGGTTTCCCCTTGGTTTCAGAGCCCAAATTTAGCCATGACTTGCCTGGGTATTTTGGTGGTGGGGTCTCCAGCATCTCCCAAGGGACACGAGACGTGCGGAGATGCAGAGAGGTGCCAGGAGGAATTTTTGGAGGCACCTAAGCTGGCTCCCCTGGGTGAATCCCTGGGGATTCAGGGACTCATTTCGCATGAAAGGTTTCAGTTCCTTCATGGTTTTGGGGGAGGCTCAGCTGCACCCCACCACCCCGAAGCTGGCTTTGGAGCTTGATGTTGTCCTTCACCTGCCTTCTCCTAGGGCAAAGCTTGGCTTTGCCTGTGCCATGGTGAACTGCTTGCACTTTGCTGATGTTCACTGAACCCCTGTACCGATGCTGAGCCGTGTTGGGGACCATCCCTGTCACTGTATCCCCGGAAAAAATATCCTGGAAAGTGTCTATGGGGCAACCAGATGAAAGGATGTAACAGGGGATGGTGGTTATTCAAGCGGGTGGCAGAGATGGTGCTCCCCTGGCTGTGGTCCCCTGGGAGCAGATGGTGACCCAGAGGGGGAGAACAAAATCCAATGAGCTGCAGCTTTCACTGTGCTGCTGCTCCAGCCGGGGCCGGTGACACCGGTGCCCAGTGAGGATGGGCTCTGGTCCAGGTCCCGAGCGCAGCGGTGCCTTGGGGTTGCCCCGCAGCTCACGCCCGCTCCTCCCCATGCTTTGCAAACGGTGGGCTGCTGAGCCCTGTGGGTAATTTGGGGCTGGCTGCACCCCCCCCGGGTACCCCCATAGCACCGGGGATTTTTCTCCAGGCTTGTTATTTGGTGCCCTGCTCTGCTCCCCATCAGCCCCAAGAGAGCCCCCGATCATCCAAATGGGTGCTGAGAGCTGGAGGACAGGGGTTCGATGGGTGAAGGAAAGACACTCAGTCCTGGTGTGTGCACGGCGCTGCCCCATTAACCGCATCCTACCTGACACC